CAGCAACGCCTTATTTTCGCTGGTAAACAATTAGAAGACGGTCGTACCTTATCAGATTACAATATTCAGAAGGAATCTACACTTCACTTGGTACTTCGTCTCCGTGGTGGTATGCAAATCTTTGTAAAAACGCTCACTGGTAAAACCATCACGCTTGAAGTTGAATCATCAGACACTATTGACCAAGTAAAACAAAAGATTCAAGACAAGGAAGGAATTCCACCAGATCAGCAACGTCTTATTTTTGCAGGCAAACAATTAGAAGATGGTCGTACTTTATCAGACTATAATATCCAAAAAGAGTCAACTTTACATTTAGTGCTACGTCTTCGTGGTGGTATGCAAATCTTCGTGAAGACTCTTACTGGCAAGACAATAACCCTCGAGGTTGAATCATCAGACACCATCGATCAAGTTAAACAAAAGATTCAGGATAAGGAAGGAATTCCACCAGACCAGCAGCGTCTCATTTTTGCTGGCAAACAATTGGAGGATGGTCGTACTCTTTCAGATTATAACATTCAAAAAGAATCTACTCTCCATCTTGTACTCCGTCTTCGCGGTGGTATGCAGATTTTCGTTAAAACCCTCACGGGTAAGACCATTACTCTCGAAGTCGAGTCATCCGACACTATTGATCAAGTAAAGCAAAAAATCCAAGATAAAGAAGGAATTCCACCAGACCAGCAACGTCTCATTTTTGCGGGCAAACAATTAGAAGACGGTCGTACGCTCTCTGATTATAACATTCAAAAGGAATCTACACTTCATCTTGTTCTCCGTCTTCGTGGCGGTATGCAAATCTTTGTTAAAACTCTTACTGGTAAAACTATTACACTCGAAGTCGAGTCATCCGATACTATTGATCAAGTAAAACAAAAAATCCAAGATAAAGAAGGAATTCCACCAGATCAGCAACGTCTTATCTTTGCCGGCAAACAATTAGAAGACGGTCGTACACTCTCTGACTATAATATTCAAAAGGAGTCCACACTTCATTTAGTACTCCGTCTTCGTGGTGGGCAATAAATTTAATGCATTATCTTCGATGGTGGGATGATTTGGGTTTGGATAATGTGATTTTATGATTTTATAAATTCATTAGCATAGTTTATTCAGCTTTTGATAGATGCTATTAAATGCATGTTTTCAGTCCTTTGATTTATTTTAAATAATAAAATTACAATAAAGGTTAACTAAAAATCAAAAGTAAATTTGAATATAAAATTAAATTTTTCTTCTGAAATATGCGAATATAGATTGCTATACAAGACATTAAAACATTAGGTTAGTAAAGCAGTATATAGCAATGTGATAATTTTAAAAACTTTTCAAGTTGAAACTAATTTCTTTGTAGACCGTGTCATATTAGTCAGGGAATATGTTATCTGTCCAAACATGTGAGCACATGATTATAGATCAATTTTTAAAATTTGCTATGAAAATTTTCAAAAATTTTTATTCACTTTTCATTGAACCATGTGATGTGTAAAAGCTATTAAAAATATTCTCTAAATAACGTTATTTTGCAGGATTTGCTTTATTAAATGGTATAAGTTTGAAAAACAATTTATATATAAACAGAAAATAATATTGGGCTTAAAGTTTGTTAATATTTCTAAATCTTGCTTATATTAAAAATTTGAAAATATCTAACTTGCCAAATTTTTAGTGTAAATTTAACTTCAAACTAGTGATTTACTAAAGCAATGTTCTTTTTAAAACTTTTTTTACTAAAATTTTAGTATTATTTATAATAAATCTCTTTGGGATTATTTGTTATTATAGTCAAATCTTCTTAAGTACACCTTTTTAGAATATATTACAATAGCCAATTTATACCAGGTTTTGTCTACAGTAATCAGAAAAAGTTACTAAACTTCAAGGTATAATTATGAAAAGATAGTATTCTTTTTATAAAGTTTTTTTTTATTTAATCAATTTTTTTTTTTTTTTTTTTTTTTTTTTTTTTTATTAACCAGTTACATTTTTATTTTTTTAATTTTATTTTTTTTATTTTTTATTTTTATTTTAATTTTTT